AAAACGGAGATTAATACCTTGGCCTCTAGACCCTTGTTCAAATAAACATGCTCCTAAAAGTTCCTCACATATGGCGTTATCTTAGTTGAGTTGACCATTGATAGCCTTACCTTCAATCGGTAGACCGAATAACATGTACACGTTCTCTAGTGTGATGGTATATTCACCACATGGAAGATGAAAGGTGCGACTTTTGGGTCTCCATCTTTCCACTAATGCGTGAATAATTTTATAGTCAACATGGTAATTTACTATGTTGAGTAACAAACCAAAATTGGCTTGTCGTAAGTATGGTTCAATTTGTACATCGTATGGAACATACTCATGGACACGACAACGAGATCTTTTAACATCCTATTAAAACATGAATTACGTATAAGAAATATAAGATTTACGTATAACAATCATAAGAACTACGAAAATAAAATTTGTCGACAAATAAAGGGTATTAAAGAAAATAAACTTACAAAGGTCTCAATGTTGTTGAGAGTTCCTCTATGTTGATCACCCATAGTCAAGAGAGCCATTTTTTCTTGATTACTCTTGTGTTCTTATTGATGTTTCAAGAAAGAAATAGTGTGTGAGTTATGATTGTGATGAACATATAGGGTGAATGTTATATGTATTTATAAGAAAATATGGAGAATAACTATGCATTCACGTGAGAATTCTCTGCATACAATTAACACATATGCGCCACCCTAGGTGGCGCATCCTTTTGCTTTTGCATTAAGGCGCCATTCAACATGACTTGTTCCTTTTTGCATGCATGCAAAGCTGCACCGTGAAAGTGATCAGGTGGCATGCATGCAAGCCTGTTGTTCACGTGACAAGCCACCCTAGGTGGAACATGCTTACAAAAATTAGAGGACAAGCCATCCTAGGTGGTGGATGTGTTGTAGTGTTAAAAGAGAAGCCATCTTGGATGACGCATTAGTGTTATATTTCCCATACTTTCATTAGTCTATTTAAGCGTCTATTTAAGGCGCATTACTGGTATACATCTATAACTCACAAAAAATATACCTCAACATATGGATCATTCACAATATTATAGTATTGTTGCTCATATTAACGGTGAGACGTTCAACTGCGATAACTTCAGTTTTAATTTTCGTAAGATTTTATCCGCTTTCAGATAAACAAGAAATCAAGTTTTGCACGCTTCAAAGATAGACTAGAAGAAAAATTGCAGTGTGGTCCTGTTTACCAAATTCTTTACAAGTCCCTATTTATATTTGACAACAATCAAGTCAGATTTTATCAACTAAAGGTGTGCGACGATGATGATGTTCGAAACATGTTTCAACTCATGAACAATCAAGTTTCAATGAGACTGAGTTGTATGTTTTATCACAATAACCTGATCAATCTCACGTGGTAGATCCTTCTCAAGATTTTGAAGAAGAGGATGAATCTGACGAGGATAACCACCTCGAAGTCGATGTTATTAACCAAGAAGAAGAAGATGATAAGGAAATGATTGATTTTCTGGTCAATAATGACGATGCAAATCAAGAGCATGAACCTCTACCTACAAGTCATGCGCATGACCCTCAGTTTCACATGACGAACTTGAATTTCGGGGAAGACGAGCCAACTTCAGATATCTTTCACAATCCCTATATGCTGACCGAAGGGGCCTTGAAAGTTGGAGACAAATTTCGTACAAAAGAAGAGTCTGTTAGAGCTATCAAAAAATACCACATGGAAATTTTAGCTGATTTCAGTATAGATCGAACTAATTCAGAGAGGTACATTATTTCATGTCGTCAAAAGCCAATTTTCCCTTTTTGTTTAAATACATCTTATAGGAAGAGAAGTGATTCATGGGAAATATGTACCATTGATCGAATCCATAGTTGCGTCACCATCGCTCTAACGCGGGATCATCGAAAACTTAGTTCTAAACTAATATATTAAGAAATCTTGCCTCTTATTAGCAAGGATCCATCATTATAGGTGAGTACAATTATTTCTCATATCGTTACAAGATTCAATTATACTCCCTCTTACAGGAAGGCATGGATCACGATGACTAAGGCAGTTAAACTTGTCTACGGTAATTGGGAGGAATCGTTGAAAGAAGTTCCAAGATTTTTGGTGGAACTCAAATATTATGCTCCAAAACTGTTATAATTTTGGAGACACTCCCGAGATTTACCCCAGACAGAACTCGTGTCATTGGAAATGGAAAATTTCATCGATTGTTCTGGGCGTATGAACCATGCATCAAAGGTTATGCATTTTGCAAACCTATTATACAAATTGATAGAACTTGGTTATACGGAATGTATCTAGGAACATTACTCATGGCAGTGGCACAAGATGGCAGCAATAATGTTTTTCTGATTGCCTTCACTCTAGTGGAAGGTGAGACAGGTGGTGCATGGAATTTCTTTATGAAGAATCTCCAATTACATGTTGCTCCTCAACCTAACCTTTGTTTTATTTCAGACAGACATCCATTAATTGTGAGTGCATACAATAACCCTGATAACGGTTGTCAGAATCCCCCTTCAACACATGTCTATTGCATTAGAAATATCACATAAAACTTCATGCTCCATATCAAAGATAAGACACTTCGAAAAAAAAGTTATTAATGCAGAGTATGCCTTAATAGAACCATCATTCCAACACTATCGCAAAGAAATCTAGTTGACAAACTCAGAAGCATTAAGATGGATCGATAACATTCCAGTGGAGAAGTGGACTCGGGCATTTGACAATGGTCAACGATGGGGCCACATGACAATAAATTTTGTGGAATCATTGAACTTTGTCTTCATAGGAATCAGACATTTACCAATTACTGCATTGGTTAGAACAACATATTTTAGGTTGAGGTCATTGTTCGACACAAGAAGTTCAAAATGGAGGGAAGTGTTACAATCAGGGCAGTTGTTCAATGAATGCACAATGAAATCATTTAACGAGAAGGCAACCACAACAAACACCCATACTGTCACAGTGTTTGACCATATTAATGGTTGGTTCAGTGTACAAGAGATAATGGATCATAATGAGGGGAGGCCAAGGGGATATTATCGGGTCGAACTAGATATAAGTTGGTGTGGTTGCGGAAAGTTTCAAGCATTTCACATGCCTTTCTCTCATGTCATAGCGGCATGTTCACATGTTCGATTGGACCCAATACGACATATATCCCAAATTTATATAGTAAAGAGCTTTTTAAGTGTGTACATCAGTACCTTCTTCGTGTTGGCAAAAGAGGATTATTGGCCTGCTTATCAAGGGGATATTGTTTGACACAATGAACAAATGCGACAAAAGAAAAATGGGCGCCTCAATAACACTCGTATTAGATCGAAATGGATACCACCAACAAAATGATAAGATTATGCAGTACATGTCGTCTTCGCGGACACACTCGAAAAAATTGACCGAATATTGGGTCTAGCTCTGCAATCTAATTTTTTTATAGAAAACTTTCTGGAGTAATTAATTTATTATAAGCAAGAAATTTCAATTTAAATTCGGGTTTTTATTTCGTGTTCAATTTATCATTCGATTATAACAACATTCAAATAATGACCCAAAAAATTACAACACGACAAATTCAAGACAATAACACAACAACATGATAGATAAGCAAACAAAACAACTAAACACATCATAATATCTAAGAGATAAAAATCATCAACACAATATCGTCTGATCCAAGCATCATCATCATGACATCAGCGTCGCATCTCACCTTTTTCCATGATCGACTTACTCCATTTTTGTTCCTCATTGTAATTTGTCTTTCGATTTTTATGATCTGTTCACCTTCAAGAATGTCTCCTTTCAACCAGCGAATCAAGTGTCTCTGAAAATGCTCGAAAGTCTGCGTGCTCCAGAGTTTGATCTTCATCAGAGGCTTTGTCACTGAAAAAATGACATGCGCATCTCTTTTGATCAGTGAAAACCTTGGCAAGGGAGTGGAAGACATTTTCTAAGAGTGATGTGAGAAATGGTGTAAAAAATGAAGAAGATGGGTGATTGCATTTATAGAAAATTATATACAATTTTCAAGCCACCCAAGGTGGCGCCTCCTCTATAACTATGCATGCATGCGCCACACTACATGACATTACATAGAAGGACAAGCCATGCAGTGTGGCGCCTGCTCTATATTTTTCATGCATGCGCCACACAGAGTGGCCCCTCCTCTGTGTGGAGAATTTTTTTTTGTTTGAAAAGTGATTACTTTAGTAAATTTTTTGAAAAATGTAATTATTTGAGTTTTTAAAAAAAAAATGATTATTTAAAAAAAATCAACATTACTTCTATATTTATTATTATTAATAGTAATTTATAAAAAATTTCACTATAAAATTCGCCTTAGACCTAAATATCTATTTGGCCTATCTTACTCAATGTCCTCCTTAATAGGGGCCAAAATCTCTTAATGAAAGAAAAGTTGAAACCATCGTAATAATAACTTTTATTTCCATCACTCAAAACAATCACCCGATTAAATTATATTTTTTTTGGAAGCATCTTAAAAATAAAATTAATTAAATTATATATTTTTGGAAGCATCTTAAAAATAAAATTAATTATATAACACAATAATCTATCAAAAGTCGGTTTTATAATTAGAATGAGTTAAACGTTTAACATAAAAAATTTCATAAAAAGGAATCAAGAAAATATTTTTATATCTTCCATTATTATTCCCACTCTCTTATCCTCAAATAACTATGGTACAGAATAACTTTTTTTCTCCTTTTTCTTAAGATGAGCGTGGCATAATTTTATGGCCAAGATCCAAAGACCAATGATGTGAAAGTATTTAGTGCTAGAATGCATGCCTTGTCATTTTATTCTCTTTATTTGCTAACCATTAACGGATTTTTCAAAAAAGTAAGTATATAATGAGCATTTAATATTCTTTTCTTTTATTTGCATGATTAGTTAACCACTCATGCCATAGTTATTCTGTAATTTCTTATGCACACCCTTAGGTAAGAAGAAGAACAATAAAATACTTAAACAGTATATAATGCGAAACGTATGCTCTCAAGGCTTCTGTTCTCTTGTTTGACTCGCAGTTGAAGATCAACATCTGGCTCTAGTTTCTCACCTATTTGGTATTTTGCACTCCAAACGTCTGTGTTGTTATTTTCTTTTCTGTGGATCATGTCAACTCTAAAGGAGTCTCCAAAGCATGCTCTTGTAGCAGTGTTGGTGCCTTCAAAAGAAGTGCAATTCTTTCTTAGGTTAGAGTTGTGGTTGTTTCCCATTGTAAATGTAGTTTGAGTTTTTGGGTATGGTTTGTGTTCAGCTATTTATTGGCTTGACTAGAGTCATAGCAAGTCCCCTTATATAATCAACTCGAACACACAAATATAATTATTAGAATGAAATTCAATAATTTGGTTGCTAAAATAAGTTATTTTATTTATTTTTGTCTTCTAATTTATTTACTTTATTTTTTTTTTTTTTGTAATTCTTTATATCAATAGTACTAGTGTTTTTTTTAAATTTTCAGAGTCTTTCTGTCTATTAGTTACGGTATAAATATGACAATGAAGTGGAGACAATCTAAGAACACTTGGATAAAATAGTAAGAAATTTCTTTCAACTTAATCATAAGTCTTGGATTCAAATCTAATCCTGAGTGCAATACTGCTACATTTTTTTAGGGAGAGTTTTGTTTTCCATTGTGGTCTTTTGTAACTCGAGGGAGTAGTCTCCACAATTATGCGCATATAATACTTGATTTTTACGGAGAAATAATTTGGGGCTCTATTTTTCTACAATTAAACCGTGACAGATTTATAATAAAACCTTTTTAAGACATGTTTAACCGTGTCAACTTTTAAGTCATGTTTGAGTTAGTCGTAGTTAAATATAACAAAATAAATTAGAGGCAATCCAAGAACACTTGGATGAGATAGTAAGGTATATCTTCTAGCTTAACCATATGTTCTAGATTAGAACATAATTCTGGACACACAATTGTGTTAACTTCTCTTGAGGGAGAGTTTTGCTGTCCATTGTGCTATTCCCTTATTCAAGGGATTAATCTATACAATTAAGTGTATTTCTTCTAAAAAACCAATTGGATTCTTAATTTGTCACGGTATAGCCGTGACAAGTATTTAATGAGATCCTTTTTAGCCACCGTTTAACTGTGTCAACTTTTTGTCTCTGTGTAGTAGCTTCCCTTGCAAGCCTTTAAAGACGGCATAAAACATGTAAATATTTATTCTTATTACTTGTTTGAAAAAATAAACTCTCATAACTAAAAGACATAATTTAATCACTACTACAACATATACATTTTGTAACAATTTTTTACTACAACCACTTATCCAACTGAAGTAATATATATTCATTAGACGCCTTTAATTTTATTTTTTACATCACACATCACAAGTCCAACTCAACAACCATTGTGATACGTGAAAGAGGGACCCATTTAGAATCTAAACACTAGCAATTTTATGTTTTTCCGTTACAAAAAGTGTGCGTTTTCTTAATTTTTATTTTTAATTAAAAATTAAATATTTTTACCATGGTCCAGATTAATACCGTAGTTAAATATCAAGACTATTCACCAAGGTTTCTCTTATCCACCATGGTGAAATATTTTACCTACATAAGCTAATTTTATTGACTTCAAAGCATTCTGCGCTCAAAGGGAAACCTAAATTCTCTCGCCTTATCCCATTCTCTCAAAAATTCATCATATGTTTACAAAACTCCAATATAACTTCTCAAACTAGTATGCACCGGTGAAAGGTATCACAAATCCTTGTAAGACGAAACACATAACTCAATTCTTTGTCTTCATTTTAACAAATATTTTCAAGGAAAGGTACGTTTTGAACCATTTTCCACCATTCTTTTTTTGAGTTATTTTGTTGTTGTTCAAAATATTTTTGTTTTTTTTCTTGTTTTTCTTATTTTTCTTGTTCAAGATATATACGTGAAATATTTGTCTTATTCTAAATGTTTGTCCAACATAGGGTTCCTTGTTTTTCTTATTGTTAAGATGAGATTATAAGTTTATTATTATTATTTTTATTGAGATAAATAGAGGGTTTAAGATATTATTGATGTATGTTGTTATTTTGTTAAGATAAGTTGTTGTTTCGTTATTGTAGATATTTTTGTTGAAGTATATTGATGTTTTTGTTGAGGTACGTTGATGCCTTTGTTAAGGTAAGTTGTTGCCTTTGTTGATAAATATTGTTGTTTGTGTTATTGTAGATTCTTTTAATAGGTATGTTGATGTTTTTGTTGAGGTATGTTGTTGTTTTGTTAAGGTAAGTTTTTATTTTTGATGATAAATGTTTTTGTTTGTGTTATTTTAGATGTTTTCTTTGAAGTATGTAAGTTTTTGTTGAAGTATAATGTTGTTTTGTTAACGTACTTTTGTTGATAAATGTTATTGTTTGAGTTAATTTAGATGTTTTTGTTGAAGTATATATGTTGATATATTTATTGAGGTATGTTGAATTAGATGTTTAGGTTTTTTGAATTAGAAAATAATAATATGAAGGGTTAATACCTATTTTCCCCCCTGACATATGGGGTGTATTTGAAAAACCCCCCTGCCAAAAAAAAAGTTCCAATTGTTACCTTGACAAATTTTAAAAGTTTCAGTTTTTACCTTAATGATGCCACATCACCTAAAAGGCTGATGTGGCTTATATTTTTGTTACAGTTGTAAGTTTTTTTATTCCATGTCACACAATACACAATAAAATGTCCAAAATGCCCTTTCTACATTTTTCTTAAAATCCCAAATTATTTGGCAAATGCTATGTTTCAATTCAGACCCTCCACCTCCAAATTAGGGCGCAACCATCTTCATCTCAGCAACCCAACTTTTTCTTCCCTCTTCATCTTTAAGTTTTCTTTGATTTCCTAAACATGAGTCAACCAAATTGTTCTACTTCATGCTTATCTTCAAATGGTAGAGTAACTCCCAAATGCGGCCACAATGTCTCCATGAAGTTATTTGTTTCAAAATCGGTTGCAAATCCCGGGAGAAAATACTGGAAGTGTAAGTTCTGGGGTAAAGGAGATGTCTGCAACGCATTTGTTTGGGATGATGAATTTTTTGATGATTTCGGTGATAACGGCCATTCGGCTGTAGTTTCAGTAGAACTGATGAGCAAACTGGAGAGAGATATCGCACTGAAGATGGAAGCCATGGAGAAAAAAATGGATGAGTTAAAAAAGAAGCTGAATTATGTTTTAGTTGGGTTTATTTGTCTTTTGGTTCATTTCTTACTTAGTTCATGTAAAAATTCATGAAGCTGTGGCTTATGTTCTAGGAAGTTGTAACCTATGTAAAATTTAGTTCATGAATTATATTTCTTTGTTATGGAATATGTAATATATTTCTTTCTTATGGTTTCTTATGGAATATATTTGCTAAGTCTGTTCTGATATATTGTTAAGTAAAACTGTTTTGGAATATTTTGGAAATCTGTTATGATATTTTGGAAATCTGTTCTTAAGCAATTCTGTTGAGTAATTCAGTTGTACAAAATCTGTTGTTAAGCAAATCTGTTGTTAAGTAATTCTGTTCTTAAGCAAATTTGTTGTACAAAATGACAATAACATAGTTAAGCCAATCTATTGTGATACATAGTCAAGCAAATCTGTTGTACAAAATGACTTTAACATTGTCAAGCAAATCTGTTGTGATACATAGTCAAGTACATGTGTGATACAAAATGACAATAACATGATACATAACTTAAGCCAAGCCTGTTCTGATAATAAGTCAAAGTAACAAAATGACACAGGAAACTTTCAAATTGAATTTTACAAAATAGCACACCATATGCACAACTACTGATCAATGCCCTTCCTCTTCTTCCTTGATATCTTCTTTGAGGTACTACCACCAGTTTCTTCATCTATGGTCAAAGGTGCATCAGGTGTTGATCCAGGCCCACCATGTCTTTTGGCATTCCTCACTTCCTTCAATCTTTCACTGACTCTCTTTCTTGATCGCTTCCAAGGCACGACCACGGCCTTTTTCCTAGCTGAAGGTTTTTTGACATTAGTAGCAGCAGGGTCAGGTTGCATTGCAGCAGGTTGTGAATCATGTGTTTGGGGAGGTTGCATTGCAGCAGGTTGTGATTCATGTGTTGGGGGAGGTTGCATAGCAGTAGGTTGTGTGGGATTGTCAACTTGTGATTGTTGTTCTTCATAAAGATCCATCATATTATTCAGCAATGCATCCATCTCTGGGCCTTCATCCACAGTTCCACCTCCAGTTTCAGTTGTATCAACATTTGCATCCATCTCTGGGCCTTCATCCACAGTTCCACCTCCAGTTGCAGTTGTATCAACATTTGCATCAGATTTTTTTGACACTTTGGTCCTGGGTGTCTTTCTCTGCATTATTCAGAAACAGATATAAATAAAGACATTTCAATATGCTGAACACAATATTATTCAGTAACAGATTCATGAACACAATACCTTTCTCTTTAGTGCATTAGGATCTTGCTCCTTAGCTTGACACTTCCTAGAATTATGGCCAAATTTGTCACAATGCGTGCATCTATATGCTACACCTACCCTCCTCATCCTTGAACCATTCTCATCCAACTCTCTAAACCTCAGTTTCTTAGGCCTTCCAGATCCCTTCTTGTATTGCGGTGGCAACAATTCTTCAGCATCCACAGTTGGCCACATGTCCATGCCATTTATTGGACTAACATTGTTTTCATAACATGCCCTGTAAGCTTCTCTCATGTAACAAGGGTCAACATATTTCTCAGGATCTAAGTTTTGATACTGTAATGCAGAAACAGCATGCCTACAAGGTATGCCCACAAGATCCCAAAAACAACAAGTACAGGTTTTTTTCCCAATATCAACAACAAACTGCAATCCATTATATGGGTGATGGACTTGCCACAAATCACCACTGCTCCATGTAGGCAGCCATTCTCCACTAAGATATGTTTCCTTATCAAGCCTTTTCCTAGGATTAGGCATGACATTGTGCTTCCACTTATCAAGCTTAACAACACTATTAGCAATCCTATTCATCACGTAGTTCCTAATCCATTCTACCATAGTGAGTATTGGCTTATCCCTAGCTTGTAATATTGTACTATTGAAAGATTCACTCAAGTTATTCATCAAAACATCACACTTAGGGTAAAATGAAAATGAATGCTTACACCATAGTTTTGTTGGCACTCCCATCAGCCATTCCCATGCCTTCTTATCAATTTGTTTAAGCTGATTCATCTTCTTCTCC